CCTGGCCATTGTAACCACTGGGGAAGTGAACCAGCAGATGGAAGTACTCTCTCTCTCTGCCACTCTGCCTTTCAAATAAATAAATAAATATTTGAAAATATATAAATAAAAATATTCTATTCTACTCTATCCTCCTGAGCATCTATAAAGAACCATTGTAGCATCCAGATATACTGGCCTTTTATTCCAAATAAAAACATTTTTTTTTTCTTGTCCCTTGTACCCAGAAATGTTCACATTCTCACACCTGGAATAGAGCAATCAAAGTTAAGTAAATAAACTTAAAGAGGAGCAGGTTAATTATATAAAAATTCTTTTAAATGACAATTTTTAAAAGATTTATTTATATGAAAGTCAGAGGGGAGAGAGAGAGAGAGAGAAAGAAATATGAATGAGATTGGTTGAGCTTTCATCTGCTGGCTCACTTCCCAAATGGCTGCAATGGCCAGGGCTGGGTCAGACTGAAACCATGAGCCAGGAGCTTCTTCTGGTCTCCCATATGGGTGCAGGGGCCAAAGCACTTGGGCCATCTCCTGCTGCCTTCCCAGGCACATTGGTAGAGGCTAAATTGGAAGTAGAGCAGCTGGGATTCAAATCAGGTGGAACTTGAGCCAGCACTCCTATGGGATGCTCTGTGCCGCACACTGACTACCAAGATTATTTTTTTATAAGCCACTTTCCTCCATTTTTAAGGTCTATAGGGGATTACTGTAATTTATCTTTCTTTGAAAATAATTTTTGCTTGTGGCACAGAAAGTAAATTATTCAGAAAAGCTTCTCAACGAGACATGATAAGATAATGATTTAGTTATGAAAAACAGATTTTTAAATATCTAAGATGTAATCATCATAAAAATGTAGAACTAAGTTCTTGGTAGTATTAAGTCTAAATCAAGATAGATTTTATAGGTATATGAGATTCTTATCATTCAGAGGTTTTGGGCAACTTTGCTGATAATAGTCTTATTTATGAGTATAATATAGGTAAGATATTTTAGCAAAGACCTATCATTTTTGATTTAAGGTAGAGTTCTAAACTTTGTAAACTGTAGAAGAAGCAGTGTTATAAAATACTTTAAAAACAAAAATATTGCACCCAAATTCTTTTGCCTTTTCAATGGTAAATAACAGAAACTGATACAGTTTTTTTGATTCTGAACTCTGTCAGCAATATTTTGTGAAAATCTTTGAATAGTTCTTATCAGTTGATATTTGCATAGAATGAAAATCCATGAGGCTTGAGAACCAGGGAGGGCATTGTTCTGTTCTGTATCCCCTCTTCATCTAGCACAGTATTTGGAACAGGGAAAATTATTTATCGATTTATTTATTTATTTTAAAGATTTATGTATTTATTTGAAAGAAAGAGTTACAGAGAGGTAGCGATTGAGAGATTGAGAGAGAGAAAGAGAGAGGGAGAGGTCTTTTATTTGATGGCTGCAACTGATGGAGCTGCTCCCATCCAAAGCCAGGAACCAGGAGCTTCCTCCTGGTCTCCCACATGGGTTCAGGGGTTCAAGCACTTGAGCCATCCTACACTGCTCTCCCAGGCCACAGCAGAGAGCCGGATGGGAAGTGGAGCAGTCAGCACTCGAACAGGCACCCCTATAGATGGCGGCCCTTCAGGCATCGGCCCCACCCACTGTTCCTCTGCACCAGCCTCTATCCACCAATTTATAACCAGCATATGTTAAATATATAGTGCTGATATGTACCTTTTGTTAATAAGGATGGAATGTTGCCCAGGCATTGCCACTTTTCTAACTTAAGCTTTTGGCAAAATCAATCCTTCCTTCCTTCTTTCCTTCCTTCCTTCCTTCTCTCTCTCTCTCTCTCTCTCTCTCTCTCTCTCTCTCCCCCTCTCCCCTTCCTTCCTTCCTTCCTTCCTTCCTTCCTTCCTTCCTTCCTTCCTTCCTTCCTTCCTTCCTTCCTTCCTTCCTTCCTTCTTTCCTTCCTTCTTTCCTTCCTTCTTTCCTTCTTTCTCTTTCTCTTTCTCTTTCTCTTTCTCTTTCTCTTTCTCTTTCTCTTTCTCTTTCTCTTTCTCTTTCTCTTTCTCTCTCTCTCTCTCTCTTTCTTTCTCTCTCTCTCTCTCTCTCTGTCTTTCTCAGAGTGCACAGAGAGAGAGACAGAGAGAAAGATCTTCCTTTTTCCGTGGGTTAACCCCCCAGTGGCCGCTGCGGCTGGAGCACTGGCCGGCGCACCTCGTTGAGCTGAGGCCAGGAGCCAGGTGCTTCCTCCTGGTCTCCCACGTGGGTGCAGGGCCCAAGAACTTGGGCCATCCGCCACTGCACTCCCGGGCCACAGCAGAGAGCTGGCCTGGAAGAGGGGCAACCGGGACAGATTCCGGCACCCTGACCGGGACTAGAACTCTGGGTGCCGGGCGTCGCAGGCGGAGGATTAACCTAGTGAGCTGCGGCGCTGGCCAAAATCCTTGTTTCTATAAATCTTTGTTTCCCTGCATGTAACATGGAAATCATCATAGTTAGTTCAGGTTGTTTGTGTGAGTGTGGGTGTGGGAGTGTGTGTGGGAGTGTGTGTGTGTGGGGGGGTGAGTGTGTGAGAGAAAGAGAGAGGGAGGGAGGGAGAGAGAGAGAGAAAAATTAGGCATAGTGCATGACATGAATTACTCAGTGAATGTTAGGTAGTACTGCTGCTATTATGATCATATAAATATTGCTGATGTAATTTAAGATTTTGTGATTTACTTCACATTTTTGAGTAATAGATTTTGAACATCTCATACAAATTGCCTCAGAAAAATAATAAGTACACTGTATTTGAAATATAACTTCATAGATTTCATGAACTCATTGAAGTTTGTTACAGACCACTGTTTTAGAACTTCTGCTCTGATAATAATAGACGCCACTTCTGATGGAAATGACAATGAGGGTAAGACCCTGGAAGACAACAGCCTGTCAGTATACAATTACGTAATGGCAAAATGCAAATTAGCAAATTTGTATCTCCTTGTGAAGTTGGCAGTATGTGAGATGGTATTTCTCAAGATGACAGCTTCTAAATTTTCAGATCATTTAGTGTGTCAGGTAAATTACAGATTCATGGGTAATAGCTCTCAAAGACTCACTCATAATCTCAGGAGATATTTTTGCATTTTCTTGAATACATTGATGTTTTGAAACCAGAGTTTTAAGAATAATATTTAATATGTCATTGGAAAATTTAATATTTCTCTTAATTATTCAGACATAGTTAAAGAAACCTCAAATATGAAAGGTAATACTACATATATAATCAAAATGTGAATTGGGAAAAGAAGCAAAGTTAGGTTTACTGATGATTCATGAATATAGGCAAAAACAAATAATAAAGTTTTCTGTGATAAACCAGACTGTATTAAGCTCCTTAGTTCTTTTTGTTTCCTAACTGTAGTGCTTTGGGCAAAAATTAGTGAACTCCTGTAATCCACTGTAAAATGAGGATAATAGTATATCATTATTAAAAACCTTTCGGGGCCAGTGCTGTGGCGCAGCAGGTTAAAGTCCTGGCCTAAAATGCCGGCATCCCATATGGGCCCCGGTTCTAGTCCCGGCTGCTCTTCTTCTGATCCAGCTCTCTGCTATGGCCTGGGAAAGCAGTAGAAGATGGCCCAAGTCCTTGGGCCCCTCTACCCACACAGGAGACCCAGAAGAAGCTCCTGGCTTCGGATCCACGCAGCTCCGGCCCTTGCGGCCAATTGAGTGAACCATCGGATGGAAGACCTCTCTCCCGCTCTCTCTCTCCCCGCCTCTCTGTAACTCTGACTTTCAAATAAATAAAATAAAACTTAGTTATTTATTTAAAAAAATAAACCATTCATAAGGAATGGAAGAGATAATCTACATGTCATGTAGTGGGTCCACAGTAAATGGTAATTTATTAGGATCCCCCACCCCACCCTGTCCCCAACTCCTTTCCTCTTGCTGTTGTGGTGATTATCTCAGTATAATGTTCTTAAGGCTTCTTCGTGTAATTCTCATCTATCCAGGACCAAAATGAGATTCCTCCTTTCAAATTCAGTTTCCCAACCATTCACTTATGCTAATTTTTTTTTTTTTTTTTTTTTTTGACAGGCAGAGTGGACAGTGAGAGAGAGAGACAGAGAGAAAGGTCTTCCTTTGCCGTTGGTTCACCCTCCAATGGCCGCTGCGGTCGGCGCACTGCGCTGATCTGAAGGCAGGAACCAGGTGCTTATCCTGGTCTCCCATGGGGTGCAGGGCCCAAGCACCTGGGCCATCCTCCACTGCACTCCCGGGCCACAGCAGAGGGCTGGCCTGGAAGAGGGGCAACCGGGACAGAATCCGGTGCCCCAACCGGGACTAGAACCCGGTGTGCCGGCGCCGCTAGGCGGAGGATTAGCCTAGTGAGCCGCGGCGCCGGCCTTCACTTATGCTAATTATTACCTTCTGTGCTTTTATTTCTTTCAACAAATAATACATGGTAGGGACATTAGTATCTACTATTTTGATAATTGGTAAACATTCATTTTATCTTTCTACTACACTTGGCTTATAACTTATTGCATTTTTAACTTAGGAAGTGTTTTTGGTTATTTTGTTTCTGTGTCCTCACTCCACCTAACTAGCCAATTTGGTCAATAAGTTACACAGGTAGTTTCTTGTTTAAATGTCTGCCTAAATGAAATAAAATTTGTAAGTTAAATGTGTGTTGAAAAAGGAGATCTTACTGTATATTCTAAAGCAAAAGTTAATTTTTGAAATCTCTCATTCTTTAAACAAATATTTGTGCATTTGCTTTTATTTGTTGAGCTTGACTAATCAAGAATGGACTGCATAAGTAGTTATGAGAAATCAACCCATTCATTTGAAAATTGCATCTGTTTACCTCCTTAAACACTGAACTGTGAAACCTAACACAAATTCTGTAAGAACATCTGAGGTAGATAATTAAAGTATAATTAAGTTTAAATGCCTTGGTGAAGGAGTATAAAAATTATTTAAATTCAATCGGCTAGTACATTTGCAGTTTTCTTTTATTAGGTGTGAAATCTAAGAATCCCCTGCCAACTCTTGAGGGCTCTATCCAGAATGTTGAATTGAAGTACTGCAGCACATCATTGGTCAAATGTGCCTCTGGGACCGTGGGATCAATAAAAATTTGTGCCAAAGCCCCAGGTATGTGCAGCTGGACCATGTAAAACTTTATTGCCTGTATAGGAGAATTGGCCTTGCATTTTACAAGGAGCGTTACTGAAACAAGAATTTACTCATTGTTCCTATGAATCAGAGGCTTTAAATTTTTTTTTACTTAATTTTTTTTAATAGTGCCAGGATGATACTTCTTTACTTTACCAAATTTTTATTTAAGGGAAAAATTTTTGCAAGATTGGTTATTAGGGAGGAAAAACTATTTATTCTTAAACTTTTTGGAGGGATAGGATATATAGTTATATAGACACTAAAATATTGTTAGTATATTAGAATTGAATGCAAATCCTATTTTAAAATTTAAGGTAATTGACTTTACCTTCCTACTGGTATTCTGTTATATCATTTTCTTCAAACTATTCATAGTTTTCTCAGCACAAACTAAATTTCAGCATAAGTTTATAGTGGTACATATTCTTAACAAATTTGTGAAGATAATGTGTTAAAGTTGTTTCCTATAAACTTTTCTGAATTTGTTAGCAAAATGCTAAAACTTTCAAGAGTTAAAAATGTTTTTAATTGTATAGGTCAGTTTCTTTAGAATGTTACTAAATGTACTGGTAAAACTATGAATCTAAATTAAATGTTTTATCATGATATTATTATAATTTAAGATTCAGTATCCTCAAGATGCTATTATGTTGCACTTAATAAGAATCGTTGTTTCATAAATATTTCTATTCAGGTGACAGTGGAAAAGAGAAATTGATTCCTTTGCTTCAAGGTCCTTCTGACACGAAAGACCTTCACAGCACAAAGTGGCTAAATGAGAGTAGAAAGCCAGAATCCCTCTTAGCTCCAGATTTGATAGCATTCACAATCCAAGTTCCACAGTGTATGGACTACTGCCACAACTCTGGTAGGTACAAATCAATCATTATTCCTGTGTTTTGCATTTTCTTTTTCAGAAAGGCTTTTTAAATGGGGCGTTTTTTTCCTTTTTAGCAATTTATGTTCATGAGATATTCTTGACTGTTGTGCTTTTTCAAAATTCAAATAAGGAAGTATATCAATTTTGATAATTGAAGTGTGTTTACTAACAGTAATGATTGTTTTATGAGAATTTAACTTTATATATTGCACTTAACCTCAGATTTGCATCTTTGAAGTCCAACTCAGTTTTAAAACATAGTGTATCGTGTAATATATATTTTTCTGGGATAGTAGCATTTTGGTTGTGATCCACAGTTTACAATATTAAAATTAGGTGATTGGCCTTCTGTAGTTTTGCAAAATGGGAGAGATTTTATTCCTGGAACCCAGAAAAAGACAGAGGTTATGACCGACCCTCCCTCCCTCTTTCCCTCTTTCCCTCCTTCCCTCCTTCCCTCCTTCCCTCCTTCCCTCCTTCCCTCCTTCCCTCCTCCCCTCCTCCCTTTCTTCCTTCTTTCCTTTTTTTTTTAAAGACTTAATTTATTTATTTGAAGGTCAGTGTTATACAGAGAGAGAAGGAGAGACAGAGATAGGTCTTCCATTTGCTGGTTCACTCCCCAGTTGGCCACAATGGCTGGAGCTGAGCCGATCAGGAGCTTCTTCTGGAACTCCCATGCAGGTGCAGGGGCCCAAGAATTTAGGTCACCTTCTACTGCTTTCCCAGGCCATAGCAGAGAGCTGGATCAGAAGTGGAGTAGCTGGGACTAGAGCCAGCACTCATTTGGAATACCAACACTGCAGGTGGAGGCTTTACCTGCTAAGCCAAGTCTCCCATGTGGGTGCAGGGACCCAAGGACTTGGGCCATCTTCTACTGCTTTCCCAGGCCATAACAGAGAGCTGGACTAGTAGTCGAGCAGCCGGGACTTGAACTGGTACCCATATGGGATGCTGGCACTGCAGGCAGCAGCTTTACCCACTACGCCACAATGCCAGCTCCTAGGTCCCTAAAGATTTATTCTTTAATTTGAAAGGCAGAATGGAGGGAGGGAGGGGGTGAGAGAGAGAAATCTTCCATCTACTGGTTCACTCCTCAGGTGGCACCAAAGCAAGGCCTGGACCATGCCAGACTCCATTCGGGTCTCCCACATGGGCTGCGCCATGATGCTGGCCCCCGATGGAACTTTATTACAAAATTAAGAAGTGAACCATATTTGGCCAGTGCAGCTTGCCTACCCTTATTTTAAGGAGAAGGGATAAGTGGTTAAAGAAACAACTTTTAAAATGCATATTCAATCAAGTTCCTTAAATATACCCTTTAGTAAACTTGTTTGTATAATTACTCATAATTTGGGGGCATTTGTTTTCAAGTTATTAAGATGTTATTAAAATGACCAGATAACCTAAGAAGGGATTACTATTATCTGAATCTACCATATACTCTCCAGTTGAATAAGAGCTTCTAGTTTTTCATATGTTTTTGCCTCTACTTTTGTATGTTTGATCATATACACAATTAAATGAATGAATGAGTCAAGCCTGTTTAATAATCTTTCTCCCAAGAGTATTCATATTGTTCTTTGTGATTTAAATGAATTTCTAGAGTCATAAAATTGTATTTGCCTTTTAAGCTTTCTTTATAGATCTAGAAATGAACTGATATGTGAAAAATTCTCTATGACATCTGTGGCATTTAGAATGTGAAGTTTCATATTTATTGCTGTTAAGGAAATTCACTAATCTTCAACATTAGTGTTAGATTTAGTGATATGTTTATGGATCTTTCTATAAAAGTTTTATGTGATCATGTATTTAGTGCTTTGAAAATATTCCTTTGGGTATGTTTTAATCCTAAAATATAATGTGTTTTTAGTTAAACTACATTCACATACTTATTTAGGACATGTTAAAATTTGAATTTCCCATCCTCGTTGGAACTGCCGTATACATTCGTGGCTTAAGTATTTATGATACGGTTTAGAGAGCCCATATGTATTATTTTTAAAAGCCATTTTTAGTGTAAGTTCGATTAATCTTTTATTCATTAATGAGATTTAAATTGGGTATTTTTGTGTGTGTGACTAATGTTATAGACCAATAAATAAATCTAACATGAATAAGTAAATTATTTATTAACAGGCTTTCAAGACTTTCACCAAAATATCATTCTCTCAGCAACTATTTTCCTAGCCACTGTGTCTAAATATTTTTTCTGTGTTTTACACAGATGATTGTGTGTATGCACATATGCACAATGATACATACTTGCCATTTCCCTGATCTTACAGCTTTACTTAGTACTTACCACAGTCTGTCATACTATGTATTACCAATTTGCCTTGATTTTTTTTCCCCCTGCTGTTAGAATTTTATGCTTCATGTGTGCTGGAGTTTTTGTCTTTTCTTGTTATTGTAGAATGATACCTGGTACATAGTAGGGTAATAGTAAATATTTAGTGCATGGATGGTCAAGGAAGTTAAGATGACATTTATTTTTCTTTGGTTTTTAAGACTGGAGTAGTTAGTGGAAATGACACAAATATCTTTCCTGGGGTCCGAAAAAAAGTAGAAATGCTAGGTAGGTAAACCTTTCCAGATGAAAAATGAGAATCAAGCACCCATAATCTCTGTTGGCTTTTTCCCAAACTGGTAGATATCCAGGTGAGGTTGTCAGTGACTTACAGAGGTTGAAAATGGGCTTAGAGAATTTGAATGATGACTAAACCCACTGGCTTCTGAAGAAAATGCCGTGATGTTTGGAAGATAGCTGCTGTTGTGCATGTGCTCCTGAATCAAGGGTGAGGAGGAGACTAAAGCTGGGGACCAGGTGATGGTGTGCAAGTTGTCTGAAAGGCAGTTAGGAAGTGACATTTGAGAGGAGTTTAGTTAGACTGCTCTCCTTACAAGACTGTTTTAGGCAAAGCAAGTATTATTTGTGTGGTACAGAGGAGGAAATAGAGGTCTAGAAGTTAAATGACTTGGCCGTAGGCCTACCAAGATGGACTCTGAACTAGACCCTGGTGTATCAGACTATAACATTTTATCACTTTCCTACGATGCTTACCATTTTCATTTTTTTAAAAAATTTTATTTGAAAGAGAAAGAGAGACAGACATAGAGAACGAATTGTCATCTTCTGGTCCATTCCCTAAATGCCTGCAACAACCAGGACTGAGTGAGGCTGAAGTCAGGAGCCAGGAACTCAGTCCAGGTTTCTCATGTGTGTAGCAGGGACTGAAATAGTTCAGCATCACTTGCTGCTTGCCAGGATGCACATTTATAGGAAGATGAAATGGAAAGCTTAACCTTGACTGGAACATTATGATAGGAGATGTGGGTGCCCCTAGCAGCTTAACTGTTGCACCGAATACCTACCCCACCATTTTGTCTTTTAATTTTAGGATCCACATTGCTAAAAATTGCATCCTCCAGTATTTCCTATTTGGGAATTTAAAATAATCATGAAGTATTAGCAACTTAAAGTCGTAAGAATTTAAAAGGTTATTGTTCCAGTTTCTAAATCAGTGTTGGGAGTCTCTTTTACATGTGTCCCTGTTTGCTCTAGATGCTCTGTCCTTTTCCTGGTTTTCTCTCACAACAGTCCTTGCCTTTTCTATCCCCATTTAATCTCAGCTTAGTCTTAAGCTCTTATGTCAATTACTGTTTAAGTAAGTCTTCTGACACTGCCTCTCCACTTCTGTCTTCCCACAAAATTTGATTAAGTATCTCTGTTAAATTCTTTCATAGCTCACTGTACTTTTTCTTCATAGATCCTGTGACAGTGCATATATTGTCTGGCTTCATCACTTGAAAGTGAGCTCCATTAGGGCAGTCACTGGTTGCTTAAGGTTTTAAGATCATAACAGTGCTTACCACATAAGGAATGCTTGAGAAATCATTTGCTCAATGAATGAGTAAATGAATGAACCTTTTGACATATGGTCAAGGATATGAATGAGTTTGGCATATATTATGTTCCTAATACATGTTAACTCCTTTCCATGTTACTTCCTGTGTTCCTCCTCTTCTCCTCCTGCATATATCTGCCATTTTGGAGGATATCCATCAGTATCTTCTGCTGTTAGATAGTTCTAATTATTAAATCCTTTGCTCTTTGGAAAAAAACTTCCATTTGTTGGCCTGGTTTTACTCTTATAAATGGCGTGAAGTAATATATCAGCTTTAAATATACCTGAGAGAATCTTATGTCTCATAATCTTATTTTCTCTTTCACCCTCTTTAGTCTCTAGCGTTTAACTATATGATCACATCCTTTTCGTAGGAATCTTCTTCTGCATTGGCTTCCACGTGTTAAGAATCAAGTCTTTATAGGTTGTTTTTTTTTTTTTTTTTTCAAATCTTGTGAATGTAGGCACTGGCTGTACTTTGTTCTGTCCATATTTTTTTCTAAGATATTTGTATAGTATAGAGACTTAGAAGAAACAGTGTGCCATTTCTGTTTGGAAAAAAAGAAGATTGTATGCCTTCTGCCTGTAATAAAATATTTGATTCCTCAATTTAAAGTTCATCTCTTAATATATACTTCACTGCATGTACAGCATCCATCTGGACAGATCCACATATTGTTACCTGATGCAGATAAGTTGATATTCACTTCTACTTCCTATGCCATGAGTAATAAAGTTCTTAGTCTCTGATTCAGAGGTCTGGTCATCTGCAGCATTTATGAAGTATGGTCAGGTAAAATCTTAGGCCCTTCACAATTCCTAATAGATAGTGTTCTTGGTTTTCTTTGCTTTGCTCTTTCCCTCAAACGTACGTACGTGTGTGTGTGTGTCTTAAATATAGTTATTTATAAAATTATGTTATTGGTCCTTTTCTATTTGGGGTTATCACTTCTGTTTTTAGCAAATGACCATAAGTTTATATACCTCTGTTCATTTGTGTTCTTATATACAGATTCCAAATTTTGGCCACCTTGTAACCATGTTTCTATGGATGTTTTAATAACCTAACATGTTTAAGAC